TCATGAAAACCCTAAAGAACTACTGTAACTCAAAAGCTTTACCTTATCCAGGTCACCGTGAAACACTCGCAAGGAAACAGAGATAACTGGAAAAAATGTAAATTTATTGTCATTGTTACTCTGCATGGCCAGCTTTCAAACAGGAAAGAAGTTGGTAGGTGTTAATTTGAGAACAAAACGTGACCGCTGAAGTTTGGGAAGAGAAAAATAGCAGCTTCACCCTTAAATTTAATTTTGCAATGTTTTTTTCCTTTGCTCAATGGCCTGCCCAATCCCCCAATGAAAATACAAGTATGTAATCAAATATGAACATGGCATCAGCCCAAGAGGACTGCAGGAACATGCAAAAAAATTGGATAAAAAAGAAGTTATCTTCAATAATCTTAATTCTCATCAGTCAAGACATGTTCACCTTTACTTATCAGTCACTGCACATTATTCTTTCCTGAAACTAAGTGACTGTATCATCATGGATACAGAGGTATGTTTCTAAAGAAAGTGTGGTGCTGCCACAGTAAGGGTGTTAAGGGGATAATTTGGTTTTATCAAATGAGTTGATATGGCCTATTTACATATTTGACTCAGTTGATAAAACCAAATGGCCGGTATCTTTTACTATCCTCCTTTGCTGTAGCAATGTGCCATACTACATGATAATTTAAGCACTTGAGATTTTGGATATTTACAAATTACATTTTTGCCAATTGTTCACTTTACATATATCTTAAAAGAGTTTAAAACAGTCATTACTTTACTAACTCACCACTGTTTGAGCTTGAAGCACTGTATTTATTGGTTTGTTTTTTAATGATACTATCATGGACCATCCAGAAATCACTGTCACTACAACTGAAAATCATATGCAAACACAAAAGTAACTCTTCAGCTTCTAAAAATAGTAACATTTTCCTTCAGGTCGATAAAAGGGGGGGACATGTTGGGGAAAGTTTAGGTTAGGCAAGGAGGTGCCAGGAAGCCATCAAAAACTAAACAACACTAACACAAAATCTTCTGATTTCCCTGCCCAGTTTAAAACAGTGAATTGTGGCATATTGACTTCAAAGACCTAACCCTATTTTAAAGTCAGTCAAATAATAGGTAAATAGCTAATAAATAAAATAAATGGCTATGAATTGTATCAGTCATCCAGTTGAGAATATGATATGATATGTGATATGGCCGAAACATCGATCATTCGTCTATAATTTTCCATTATTTGAATTATTTTCTTTTTATCAAAATAAAATAAATGTGCACTAACTTGAAAATTGGCATTTGGAATTCCTTCTCTTCCAGACGTTCTTCTCTTCCAGTCAAAACATCCACTATATCCAACACTTGAAGTAAAAGAGAATATTTACTATTACTAATTTTAAAATAGATTGAAGTTTTGTTTGACACAAAAAAACTCCCTCTTTACTGTTATGTTCATTCTGTCATGAAATAAGGGCCATCAAAAACTGCGTTGAAATAAAGGAATTGAAGAGGTCTCGTTGAGAATGGCAACACTACACACAAGCTTTTTCATACTACAAGTTGCATTCACCAGCACATCCAAATGGCCTTCTATATGAAGTAGTTGAGGCCTTCTTGCTTGAACCATCAGTAAGCATTCTCCCTAAGAAAGACAATGACCAGTACTAGAAGTGATTGTTGATGAAGTTAACTGCATGATTGGTAAAACAACAGAACTAAAGTTAGTGAAACCTATTGACATGTATTTTCCTCTCTCTTCACTCTCACGCATTTTCTATAAACAGTCATTTGGAAATGAACAGGGTAGCCAGGAAGAGAACAAGTGCAGGTGACTCTTCGAGGTATGTTGACTGCATAATACATGCACATTATGTTCATTGAAAATTACGTGTAATAAAATAGCGTTGCAAGGGTTATATTGAAGATGAATTATAATAATTTTTATCTAATCAATATAGTGCTAAGGACAGTTAGAACTTTGTTTGACAACAAATATGGATCAGGGCTAAGATGGAATTTTGCAAGTTATCCAATTCAAAATGAAACAAAAGATAGAAAACAAAATCCTTGATACAAAACAAAGAAATGACTGCTGTGGTCTTCAGAGGCAATGTACCTATTCTCACAATGTGAGCAACAAGGTAAGCTTCAGCTGACACATCCTTACTCCCAAGGTCCTGCAATTCAAAAGTAAAGTTACATGTAAATATTTACATATATCTTATTAACCAAGCGCAAGGGCTGTACTGGGAGAATATCGGCCCGAGGTCTTGACAGTACAGACCGAGCGCAGCGAGGCCTGTACAAAAAAGACCAAGGGCTGATATTCTTCCAGTACAGTCCGGAGCAAGCTTGGTTAATAAGAGATTTATTATATGACTGAAGTTCAAAGGGACACAAGTGTGGTGTCATTCAGGACCATTCGGGACAGTGCCCAGTCCAATACTGAGAGAATATTGACTGGCAATAGAGCATTTTGATTGGTTGATTTTAGTTATTGGCCCTCTGATTGCCCACGTCGTGTAATAATTGCTTGTATTGCCTCCTAAGTCTCTTTATTGCAAAAAAAGGGGGAGGGGGAAGGAATTCCATTGCAAGCAGGATAATGCTCTGTATAAAATTTATTTCACTACATGGCAAACAAAAACAGGTTATCTCTCTCTCTTAGCTGGAAGCCTTAAATAGGATGATGACATCAGTACTCTTCCTCAGAGGAAAGAGGCACTGCCTTTGGTATTATGCTACCAAGCAGGATATGTTATTCAGGGTCTTGTATGAAACAAGGTATACAATTCTGCCACAAAGCCTCTATAGCAGGATATGTTGCAGGGGTAGGAGCCTCAAATAAGATTTTAGTATCTGCCATTGAGGCCTACTCCTCTGGTAGCATAGTTTTTTAAAATCCCAATATGAAAATTCTAAGCCATACAATGTTTCTGGCTGTACAAAGCCCATATGATACGATTTTTCATGTTTTTTGTCTAAAATAATGTCAGGATTTTTTTTTAGATGTCAGATACACATCCTACTTAGACTTCCATTACATTCCCACATTCACCAGTAACTCTTTACTTAACACTTAATTGGACAACTGACTAACATATACTTACAGTAAAAACACAAAATGAGTTTTCAATCTTCTGTGGTTGGTTAACTTTCAGTGTGCTGTCACTCTTCCCAACAGAAACTAAAAACCTCTCACTACATATAAAAAAAAAATCGTAATTGTTATGTGGTCTCAATGAATGATCTAAAAAGAATGTAACGCATTACTGAATGACTATCTTGTTGACTGAGCAGCCAAGATAGGGAAAAAAAAGAAAATCTCACACACACATATACAGGGCTAGACACTAACTTTTCAACTTACTAGCCAAGTGGCAAGTGATATCTTAGATGTTATGACAATTTCAGTTTGTTTACAAGCCAAAGTGGCTGGTGGAAATCGAAATGCACTCGCCAAAACTGAATTTCTACTAGTCTGTGGTTTGTAGGCTACCATTAGTGTCGAGCCATGATATAGGGAAGTTTTGGTTTTGATTTGTATAAGGAAATAAAGTTTTCATTCATTCATCCATTCATAAATTCATTCAAATTACCATTGATATGAAAAAATAGTGTTGAGATGGTAAGCTTGATTACTTTGATTGGTTCTTAGTTACAATCTAATGGACAGATCTATACTTTCATGATGCCACCATTAACAACAAATTGAATATGCTTTTTTAACATATAAAAACAATTATAACATAACCAAAGCAAGGCGCGCACTCTGATCGGTCAATTCAGCATCCACCATTTGCCCATGGGTGTACGCTGCTGACGTGAGCAAATGCGAAGACCATTTTTCCAAGCTTGCTTGTTTTTTTCCTGGTCACATAAGATTTATTAAATAAAAGGGCATCATTTTGCTACAATGTATCAATGTTATGTTATAAAACAAACATGGTAAACACCACAGCATACACTATTGAGTAATGGATGCACTTGGGAGGTTTGCTAAACACTCAAGAAGCTAGATTCGCTCTCACCTATTGCCTCACGCAACTCTTACACTTCTTTCATGCTTAGCAACCTCCCACATGTATCCATAACTCAATGGTGTACGCTGTGTTGTTTACCATTTGATAAATGGATTTTATGTTGCCTTGGGTCTGTTCAGTAACAGATCACAGAAAGACATCAAAATGTGGTAACAACATCAGTGACAGTCTCTCAGCTGTACCTTGTGTGCCACCTTTTTGTTCTTATCAAATTTTAATGTCATCTGCGATCCATTACTGAACAGATACACAGCAACATGGAATCTATTTGTTCAACTGATCGACACACCTGATGAATCTTCCATCCCTTGCATCATAAATGGAGAAAAACACCTGGCTCCTCTCATCCATGTTGCACATAAAGTTTGTCATGTTTAGGTAAACATGGTGCATTACAGTGCTGACACCACGTGAGGCTGTCTTCTTAAAATTTCCTCTCCCCTAACATGATTACACAACTTTCTATGAGTGCAACAAATAACTAAGCATGTTAAACGAGGATATAAAATAACAAAACTGAAACTTGACAATGAAAAAAAATATATATTTAAGCCCTTTTCATACTGTAGAAGACTTATTTCCAAACATAATTTATTTGTAGGGGAGGTGCAAAAAAAACTTACAACAATTTTCCTTGCTCACAAAATGTGGATTTATACCCAGCTACTACAAACTGTAGTAGCATTCAATGGCTATATGGGAGGCACAGCCATATCCAAGCCCCAATAAGGTCCAAATTATTTTTTTAAGTTTCACTTCCTGCAACTGCCTTAATCCCTTGACCCCTTGCATCTAATTTCTCCTTACAATATCACCCCTGAATCACACATTGAGGTTAGGAGAATAAAGGAAATGATCACCAACATAAGAAGCTTTGATTGTGAAGCCTATTCTCCTCCTCAGTAGCAACGCAGAGGTATTGAAAATAGTATAGAGATACTGACGTTAGGATGCAAAGGCTTAATTATGTCCCCATACATAGATATCCTCAAAACAAATGTTTTTCTCAATCTCTGATATTTCATCATACATAATGTAAATTACATTATGTATGATGGAATATCAGAGATTGAGAAAAACATTTGTTTTGTATATCATTAACAGAAGTACAATCTCTGGAAATTCAAGTTGAGTGAAAATCTAATCCTCAGCTTCAAGTACACAGAGAAAGGAACAGGTATTTTGGAAATATCTCAGATGAGGGGTATTCTATGTACAATATGAACACTACTGACTTTAGTAATTAAAATAATTTATAATTTGGTTTCAATCGTTATAACTTACTGATATTTGGAGGCTAGCTTCAGCACTTGACACATGCTAGAAATAAAACAGATGTAGATGGTAAACAAACGTCAAAGGTATCATTAGCATGTACATTTGACACCAAACTGCTAACTTCAATCTTGGAGTCAACATTGAACAAATACTACATTTAACTTAGTAAGTTAATGAGACATTCATCCAGAGAGCCAGTCAAATTACTAGAACATGATCACATTCCAAAATACATAAAGCATTTTACTATAATTATAAGCAACAATGAAAAACCAGGTGAACTTTCACGTGGAAATATGATATCTTCACATGTGAAAACATCACATGTTATGGTTACATGAATAATCGTGCCTTTCGTAGCAAAAGTGAAATGGTTTGGTTTTTCACTGGTGTTTATGTAAATAAATAGATTGTTACGTGGCACCTTGAGAGATACAAAATTTCCCTTCTTGCATTGAAAAAACATTTCACTCATTTACTATTTTCAACACTCAAAGAGAAATTTTGTATCTCTGCGCAGCCATGCAATATCCTCTTTTCCATTGATAACAGGTATACAGACAGCAAATATCTAGATGTGTTATTAACCAAGCATGAGGAAAAAGAACTCAGCCAATATCCAGACATCTTGACCGAACAAGCTTGGTTAATAAAGGATTTATTATATTAAAAACTTTATTAAGAATGATAAATGACTTGTTTACTTTGAGAGCCAGGAAAGAAAGCCAACTGTGTTTGTGGCACAACGAATGCACAAAAGCCATATCTGTTTTCTTTGTTTTGACTATCTTCAACCGCTTTCGCATTTCCATTGCCAAAATGATCCAATAATTATGAACGTAGTTCTAATTTTATTTTTTTTCATGCACTGGATCCATTTGGGCAATCCAAGTGGGCAAGATGGGTCCCATCTTGCCCACTCAGGTAGCCAATCAGAACACAGGATTCATTTCATCTTGCCCACGAGCACTTCAGGCAATGTAATAGGCAGCCATGTAACATACCACTTTGTAGAGTTCAACAACACTTGTGGAGTCAGCATCAACCACTTCTCCATCCACTCTTGGAATGAGATCGAGCCCCATTTTGCTAGAAAATAATTAAAGAAAATACCTATTAGAACAATAGGCTTGCATCATTGTGCTGCTTTAAGTTCTTACAAAGGAAGTTGAACCTTAGTGTGCAGGTTAGAGACCTTGTCATAAGTTGGAAATAAAATTAAGCCAAACTGGTAACCCTTGTTGCTGATCTTTACTTTGGTTACCAAAATGTTACCCTACTTGGAATACTGACCAGAACCGTTGCAGCGTGAAGTACTGTTTGTGGTTGAACAGTTGTAATGAGTAACAGAATTCTCTTTTTGAGAATTCATGATTATTAGTGTACATACCTGTTACCCCAGTCAATTTTATTGATAGCTTTCTTCTTGATGTCATCCATTTGGTCCTACAATCGTGTTGAGTAATGAACATGTTAGGCATTTAATGATATGTTTTTCAAAGATATTTATGAATTTCTTATCATTCCCCTATTACCATGATGTCTTATGTGAAGGCACAGCAGTCAGCCATCCTGAACTGTGTTTCACAATTGCCTTGGATTTGAATACTGTAACAGTATTTCCTTGACTAAGCACTCGCACTCTAAATTATGCCACTCCCCCAAATAACCGCCCACTCTCAAGACTATGATATAAGTGCCCCCCCTCCTCCCTCCCATCTTAAATAGGGAATTTAAGCAAACCACGACGGCGACAGCAACAAGAATGTGGAAAAACAATAGATCTAATTGGCAGAACAATAGCCCAGCATGTGTGTTGTAAAGCTTTGTACATTTCTTAGCCGTCCTTTGCAAAACAACAACGTGAAATCACCAAAATTTGCGTCATCTGCAAACCGAAACTGCGACGGCAAATTATTTTAGTTTACATTTGGAACTCAACACTACTTTTATGCGTTATGTTGAGTTTAAGGTCTGGCGCCCTATGAGACGGTGAACACATGCAGCCATTTTTGAAATTCTAACTAAAAGTAAAAACTTATTTTTTAATCAATGTCTTCCGTGGCATTGCCGTCGTAACTGCTTAAGTTCCCTAATAGTAGGGATACAAGGAAACCCTGTTTCTATTGCCACTTTATTTCTAACTTTTCAAGCTTCAGCTGCAGCAGAATTAGTTTGGGTTAATGGTTTTTTAACAAGCACCCCCTTTAATTAAGTGTCCTTCAAACAAGTGTCCCTATTTTTTTGGACAAAATTTAAACAAGTGTTTATTTGAGGAGATGGAGTATTTCAATCACATCTAGTATTAATTAACAGAACGTTTCACAACCCCCCCCCCC